TTAAATAAACGAGTTTAGTTCATAATTACATCATAACATAGCCAGCAAAGCCGGGCTATCAAATACGGGTACGTCAGAGTGCAGCGCAATCTAATGATGCAAAGTTAGCTTCACTAAGTGAGAGAAATCATTTTTCATGGCGATGTTATAAAGCAGTTGGTTCATGCCTTTGTGTATTATCGAGTTATAATTCACTTGGGAAGTTTGGAGTGCACTCAAGAAGCTAGAGGTACCTCTTTCGTGCTCTCCTAAATCTCTAGTGCATCATAATTCGATAATGCACTTTTAAACATAATCAATAATTGTTAACTTTAGTACAATAGTGCACCACACATATCTGCATTGAAGCCTTAACAATCTTGCCTAGGTCCTAAGACTTGATGATTTTCGATGCAGCCAGTTCCCTATTTTTTCAAAGAATTAATTGACAGTCAAAGCCTGGGAAAAAGCCGAGCAGCAAGTAGGAAAGCATTTATTACCATCCTCGAGCGACCTCGCGATTATCGCCATTGCGTTATATTAAATGATAAGGTTGCTCTTTGTTTTCTATGCCGGGACTTTGATATTTTGATTGGACAGGGCATGAATTGCCCGCAAAGACTGAGAGAGAGCAGTCTAATTGTCAGAAAGCAACGATTCACATACCGTCCTTGTCGACTCCCTCAAAGTCATAGCCAAATGAGAACGATTCTGAGAATAGTTCTTCATGAGTGTGCACTGGAAACATGGGCACGATGACGTCACCTCTGTTGTGACCAATGGGAGCTTCCGTAGCGGAGAGAGCAGATGGGTCCTTCTCGAACTTTCGAAGCCATTTTTCAAAGATTTGATCAACGAAGCAGTGGTGTAGGAGAAAGATTGGGTCATTGGACGCTGCCGGGACTGAAGCCATTGCGCCTCCTAGCGCAATGTGAACCACATTGTGTAAGGTAAAAAACACGGGTGCCAAACGATGTCCGCTGGTTGTGTTGGCGTAGCCTTCAAGAAGGTTTCTGAAACTGCAGCTTGACTCTTTGCTAAAGGGTGGGAGGTCGTACGTTTCAAAGCGCAGAGCGAACGCAACTTCTTTCTTGGTAGGAAAGGCCGCGTTGAACCCGTTGGCGAGTCGGATTTGAACAGGAGAGCGTTTCAACTTGCCTGTTTTCACGCGAGGATCGCAGAGTTTCGTACTGTCCGTGACATTCGATCCTGAGGGGTAACATATTGTTAACCAGTTCCCAAAATATTTGCCTACAACATCGCCGCTTGAAGATACATTACCCAGTAACTTGTCAGAACAAATTTCACATTTTCCACTAGCCGTCCAATCCCAAAATGGTATTGCATAATCTTCGTCGCCAGACAGATCCTGCAAAGCTCTTTCCCAGGCTAGCAAGTACAATCGATGCCAGGTGAGGAAGCCTTGGCCTTGATGAGCGAAATCCATGAAAGGCATCTTCGTTTTATCAGGCAAGACCGTGTTTCTGTTTGTCGTGTAGTAGTGCAGCCAAACGAAAAGCTCATGTACCGACACGTTTGTGAACAAAAGGATTGGATCACTTCCATTGTTCATGGTCTCCTTTATGTCCTGGTAGAAGGCCGTTGTCAGCAACGAGTGGACCGCTGTAAGGTTTTACTTTTTCAGGTAAATTTTGCATACAGTCGGCAAGGAGACGGAGATGATTGACGTCCACCAAAACTTAGGTTTTGTCTAGACTTTTTTCGCGCTCGAGGTCGCGTGTGATTGACAACCGCTGTAAACTAAAGTTAAAGCCCACTGGCAAAACGCAACGGTAAGAGAATACACGAGGAGATGTAACACCGTTGAAAACATTCATGAAGTTATTGGTGATCCTCGTCCGAGACAATCCTAAAGAAAGCACAGCTTCTTGTCCGATCAGCAAACAAGTATAATCGCATTCTTATTTTCATTGCTATTTTTTCGTTCTTTATATTCCCACGCGATTATAAGTTTTTTTTTTCCTTCTTTGTTACCTTTTGAGAGATCTCAGAAATCGAAAAGTGAAAAATGATCCAACGTAGAGTCATAATACCACGTAACAAAGACAGCACCGTGTCTCGTCCGCTCAATAAAGTTAAGCCCTGTTCGGCGGGGTTCCTGCTTGGAGGTATTACCAAATACGAATACCCCGTGTTGTAATGACTTTTTTTTCTCCTTCCCTCTCCAAGGCGATATTAGTGACTGCTGAACCCCCAGTCTTGTGTAATGTCATTTTTTTCTATTTATCAACTATATTGTTCAAATCATTTCGCCATGTCGGTATTCATCTTTATCTACAATACTGTATAAATAAAAGCAAAATGCGTCGTTCGAATTCTACTCAATTCTGTCGTCTGTTTATCGTTCAAAACTTTTAATCACGGCTTGAATCATAATTCGAAAATTCATGCAGCTCATTAATTTTGTGATTTCAATATCTCCTCAGTTTTCCGCAATCGAGTGGACACCTTCGGGAAATGAGCTATTTATATAATTAGCTTCTCTATATATCATGGGACACGTTCGTGCGAAATCCTATTCAGAGATCTATTTAGATCATTTCTGCGGTTTCAAAAAATAATTAGGGCCCTTAAGTAAACCACGACGACGACGGCAACGAGAACGTCACTGAACAAAAGGTTTAATGAGCAAAACAATAGCTGTGTACATGCGTTATAAATCTTTGTACATTTCTTTGCCGTCCTCTGCAATACAACAACGTGAAATGACCAAGTTTTGTGTCGTCTACAGAGGCTAGTAATCGAACCTATTCCGTTTTGAGTGGTAAATTTTAGGGTCTAATAAAGCTCGAGCAACGCCCACATTAGTCTTCTTTAGGAGTTAAATTCAAATTGTCCGACGAGCATCCCTCACCAGTTTTCCCATATGGGAGTCACCACCCCCCCCCCCCCCCCCCCCCCCCCCCCCCCCCCCCCCCCCCCCCCCCCCCCCCCCCCCNGGAGTCCCCCCCGGGTTCGAAATGTGTAACAGAAAGTGAAGGAGTGAAGGAGTGATGAAGTGAAATCGTCCCACCACTACAACTTGAAAAATAAAAATCTTGTCCATTTAAAAACTAAAAGATTCTTGCGCCTACAAAAACATTTAATACACCATGAATTACATAATGTTACGAGCCATTCCAAAATCTGCAAATTAAATCGATTCTCTTGATCGTGGTACGCGTATTTGACTAGACAGTATTTTCCATGTTTTGTCGATATAGAATGTCTGTCTTCAAAAGAGCCAGGTACATTATTAATATGCATACACACGCGTTACGTTTCCAAAAGTTGCGGGCAAGTCCGTTTAGATGCCCACATTCATTCCCTCTGTTTCTCTAGCTCTCAGCCCAAGCAAGCTTTAACATGTCGCCGGATCGGTGCATACCAGGCGAAGAGAAACCTCTCTCTCTCCAGTTTAAATATTGATTTTACAGTGGCAAAGTTGAGTTTGATCAAAATCCGTTTTACCATTTAATTAAAATTATTATTTATTCGATTTCACGGTCATCATTGATAATGACCGATTAGTTTCCATTCGATCTAATCAGAGAAATGTATAACATATTAAGAGTGCTGTAGAGATGCTCCAGGAGTCTTTCGGCTTTAGATTAGACATAATAGTATTTCAAGAGGGCTTGAAGCAAAAGCTCCTATATAACTTGATGGATAAACTTCGTCTTGCATATTTGTAAACAATTTGTTTCAAGCAACTTTCATGGAGTAGCTCAAGAATAAAACCTTTGGGTCATTTACCTCTTAAAATTGTTAACTTCTTTATGATCACGCTCAAGTAATATCCTTCCAGCAGAAGCGATTGAATCAACTGACAATTGCTCTTAACAAGATCTTAATACGTGATGGGTTGATTTTGGAGGGCATCTAAACGGTTGACCGAGTCTATCATGGTGGGTACTTTGACGCAATTTTGACGTCCATCTCCTAACTGAAGAGTATTTTTGTGGCTTAACACAGGGTGTAAGGGTCAATAGTGACGTAGGTAAACCCATGGGGACTCAAGGACAGCTAAAAAGGGAAACAAGGACGGCCAGAAGACCTTGGAATTTTTTTTTTCCTTGAAACGCAATTGCAATCGGAATTGAATCTGAACCTCAGTAAAAAGTTTTCAACTGTAATTTCCAATAACAAACTTTCTCTCCTGTTTTCATCAGGTTTAATATGTGAACAGTGAGCGTTGGTTTTCTTTTGCTGATTTACCGTGGAACGTACGTTTAAAGGCTAAAAATAATCTAATGAGGTGACAACGTGACCTTTTACCATGATCATGACCCTTTCTATTGAAATGTTTTTTCCTGTTGACGCATTGTTTTGCTCGTAATTTCATGTAGGATGGAACCCACGTGAAACTTTCTAGACCTTGAAATTTCAAGTGTGTTCCATTGGAGCACACTGAGTTTAATTCAACACTTTGAAACATACGAGGGTATATAAAAAGAATACTAGCACTTAACATAGCTTAGAGATAACTTGACACTATTTGGCCCCGCGCAACACAGGCGCCCCAAGCTCACAATGCGTGAGGTTATTATTTTATTTTTTTAATCTTTATACGAACCTTCAGCGAAAGGGTCTCTGTAAAGCGCAGACCGGATGGCGGATGGCGGATGATAAAATGTGGATGATAAAATGCAGATGATAAAATGAGGATGATAAAATAAAATAAAAATGTACGTTCCTTCACCACACATGTTAAGGTACATGGAAATTTCCATGTACCTTCCTACACTACACATGTTAAGGTACATGGAAATTTCCATGTACCTTCCTGTACTACACATGTTAAGGTACATGGAAATTTCCATGTACGTTCCTACACCACACATGTTAAGGTACATGGAAATTTCCATGTACCTTCCTACACCACACATGTTAAGGTACATGGAAATTTCCTTGTACCTTCACGCACTCCCTGTACCTTCTTGCATTACTCTGTAAAGGTACATGGAAATTTCCATCTACCTTAAGATGACACATAAAATGTATGAGGCATATTTATACAGTTCTTAAATCGTTCCCTGTCATGAACGTGTCAGGTAGCCCTTAAACGAAATTTAGTGAGGGAGACGAGGCAGATGTTTCGAAAATATATGATATCACGCAAAATTTATTGTAAGATACACAACACCCTGTCACGGTGTTAGAAAGACAGCTCTTTTTGGAAGATTCATGGACCCAGAAATTAGAGAAACAACACATGTCAATATATTGCAAAACTATGTTCTGAAATCTTTTAACGTTTAGAAGAGTTCGATTTAGTCTCTGTTTGTTTCGTGTTCACTGTGTTTATCTTGGGCTGCATGTATGGATTTCAGCATTCAACGACTCTGCTTACTCAGAATACGCCATCTCCTTTACATATTTACATGTAATCGGTCTCAAAACGTTTTTTTCACTTAAAGATATTTTCTTAGCTTTATGAAGGGAATGATTTTCAATGTAACAAGTACGTTTTCGAAAATTACAGACATGGCGTACTTTTGGATGATAAATGACCCGAGTACCGACCCACAAAGATACTCGACACGTTCATGGGCTCATTCCGTCATTTAACACTTAACAAGGCAAACTGAATATTTCTTTTTATCTGTAAATTGATGAACTGTGATCTGTAGCATGTTCACAGACTGTCTTCTCGCCAAGTTTCCATATACAACCTCACTTGTTGGCAGTTCCACAACAATTAATGGTGTACCGCTTCGGCCTTTCGCATTGACCTGCTTCCTTACAGCTTATAAGGCTACCAGCTCACGTCTACTTTCACCGCAAGAATACGTTTTTTTTCGTCATACTAATAAGCCAGTTCAATATTTAGTCGGCGCAGCACTACGATTCTCAAAAATATAGCTCATAAGATGAAATTCGACCGTTAAACAGCACAGCAGAAATAAAAGCAGCTTGTCCGACAGTTTCGTTTCTGAAACCGCAATGATAGGTTAATTTCTGCGGTTATTAAAAGCATCCAGCTGACCCGGATTCCGCTGGTTCTAATTTATAACTCTGCGAATCCGAACAAAACCAACACTTTTCTCAAAATAACACTCTCTCTAAAGTGTAGTGTTTTGCTTTTATCTTTTTTTGGGGAAATATGCAATACACAACTTGCGCTCAAATAAACCGGGCACTTATTTGCATCCCATTGAATAAGGACTATTTTTATATGCCTCATTATTCAAAGCACACCGACACATGTAAATGAATGAAGCTGCTCCTAATTGCGTTCGACAAAGTGGAACGCAAACCTAATTTTGACCTGTGGCTTTCCAGAGTTGGGTACCCTGTGCACGGTTATAGGCCGAAAAAAACCACATTCCTGTAAGGACACCAAAATGGCCACCCCGCTTGATTTTTGCAGGGGCATGTCACGGCCAGTAAACTGGTACCGTTTAATGCTAAGACATGGGATAAGACATGTGGCGAACATGTGAGTACATGAGCAGGTCATGTGAGCTCGTCTTTCCTATGGATCTTTCTTTGACTTCTTTCCATTCAGTCGCCGTACGCTTCACTAGTATGTGCTCTCAACGTTAGATTTTGGCGGATTTAAACGCTTCGACGGTAGCATT